CTAATTATTCTGACCTTGCATTATGACTGTTTTTATTGTTTATCATGCTGACTGTGCAGCGCTTTGTAAACATTGTTTTTAAAAGTGCTATACAAATAAAGATTATTGATTGACTGCGGAACCTTCCGCAGTCAACCATTGGTTTTGTATTTCTTTATTCCGTCATTTTTTTTGACACGTTTCACAGCTTTCACATTTTCAACAATTTCCACAAGTTATACATCAAAACGTTCCACATGTTTGGGAGATTATTGCTATTACTTTTGGGACTTCAGCGATTTCCGGTTTTTCCGCAATCGGACAAAAATCTGCATTGAGAATTCTGCAATGCATTTTAATAGGCCCATGCATTTTAATAGGACTTCAGCTCTTTCAGACATTTCTACAGTTTCAATGATTCAACAGTTTCAAGGATTCAACAGTTTCAAGGATTTCAGCAGTTTCAAGATTTCAAGAGTTTCAAGGACTTCAACAGTTTCAAGGACTTCAGCAGTTTCAAGGACTTCAGCAGTTTCAAGGACTTCAGCAGTTTCAAGGACTTCAGTGTAATCATGCAACCTAATAGGGATTTTTTTCCATGTAAACCAGTATAATGCAACTTAATAGGGATTTTTCCATGTAAACCAGTATAATGCAACTTAATAGGGTTTTTTCATGTAAACCAGTATAATGCAACTTAATAGGGTTTTTTTTCATGTAAACCAGTATAATGCAACTTAATGGGGATTTTTCCATGTAAACCAGTATAATGCAACTTAATAGGGGTTTTTACATGTAAACCAGTATAATGCAACTTAATAGGGTTTTTTTCCATGTAAACCAGTATAATGCAACTTAATAGGGTTTTTTCCATGTAAACCAGTACAATGCAACTTAATAGGGATTTTTCCATGTAAACCAGTATAATGCAACTTAATGGGGATTTTTCCATGTAAACCAGTATAATGCAACTTAATGGGGATTTTTCCATGTAAACCAGTATTATGCAACTTAATAGGGATTTTTCCATGTAAACCAGTATAATGCAACTTAATAGGGATTTTTCCATGTAAACCAGTATAATGCAACTTAATGGGGATTTTTCCATGTAAACCAGTATTATGCAACTTAATAGGGATTTTTCCATGTAAACCAGTATAATGCAACTTAATAGGGTTTTTTTCATGTAAACCAGTATAATGCAACTTAATAGGGTTTTTACATGTAAACCAGTATAATGGAACTTAATAGGGGTTTTTACATGTAAACCAGTATAATGGAACTTAATAGGGGTTTTTACATGTAAACCAGTATAATGCAACTTAATAAGGATTTTTACATGGTAAACCACTATAATGTAACCTAATAGGGGTTTTTTTACATGTAAACCAGTATAAAGCAACTTAATAGGGATTTGTACATGTAAACCAGTATAATGCAACCTAATAGGGATTTTTCCATGTAAACCAGTATAATGCAACTTAATAGGGATTTTTCCATGTAAACCAGTATAATGCAACTTAATAGGGATTTTTCCATGTAAACCAGTATAATGCAACTTAATAGGGTTTTTTTCATGTAAACCAGTATAATGCAACTTAATAGGGTTTTTTCATGTATAATGCAACCTAATAGGTTGCATTATACCACCAGACCAAGACCCAAACGAAGACTCAGACCACCACCAGATAATGACCACAGACCAGGTTTCCTTAGTTACAGGAACCAAATTGTTTCAGCGGTGAGGGGATTTTTCAGTTTCAAGGACACTTTCAATACATTCAGTAGTTTCAAGGATTTCAGCTGTTTAAGAATTTAACCAGTTTCAAGGATATCAGGAGGTTCAAGGATTTCAGGAGTTTCCACACTTTCAACAGTTTCCAGGTTTAAAAAAGTTTCAAGGATTTCAGGAGTTTCAATGTTTCAACAGTTTCAAGGATTTCAGGAGTTTAAAGGTTTCAACAATTTCAAGGACTTCAGGAGTTTCAAATATCTATCAAGTATTTTAACAGTTTCAAGGCTTTTTAAAGGATTTCAAGGATTTTTTTTAGCAGATTTCCACATTAGATCTGTTCCGCAGTCAATCGCAATGGCTTCAGCCATTGCAAGTTTCTAGTTAGTGACTGAAATTCACAGACAAAAATATTCAAGATGTTAAAAACATTCAAATAGATGAATTCAGGTCAATTTAAAATTACATTTCTGATGGAACAAATAATCAGTTTTTTTTTTTCATTGAAAAAAAATATATATATTTTGAAGGTGAATATGTCATTTTAAAACACATTGAAATTCGTAAACTGAATTTTTAGTGACTGAAATGTAAAGATATAAATATTCAAACGTGCTTTTTCAGGGTAAAAAATTTCAAATGGAAAAATTCAAGCTAAAAAAAAATCTAAATCGGATGACACAAAAAATCTTCCATAAAAGCTGCCTTTTTTTACACTTTGTAAGTTCGATTTTTCCGTTGCTCATGGCAGAAAAGCGGACGTGCAGAGCTTCGGTAAAACCAGTGGGGGCGGGTCCCGGCTCAAAAGTGGCCAAAATGACGTGCGCTGACATGCTTGTGTGGCAAGGTGGAGGGTGCTACACGCTCATAAAATAATATTACAAAAAAATAAAAAATAAAAAAGTATCAGCAACGCCAGGGCAGAGTGTCCAAAATAAAATAAAAAGCGCACTAAGGCGCACAAGTTCGTTAAATCATTAAGAGGCATAGGCAGACATTCTGTTTACTTTGATTTATTATTCTATGTTATGTATAATTCATTTCTCTTCATTCACTATAGGGTTGTATAATTCACATTTACGTTCACCAAAGCCCATCTTCCTGTCACGATGGACTCAGGAGCACAGGAGAAACACAGAACAGGGAGAGAAACGAGGGACAGCGGGAGAAACAGCGGTGGGCTGTTTCTCTCTACTAACCCGTAGGCCAGTCCCCAGCCTACGGGTTAAAGTAGAGTTACTACACGACACAACACAATGCTGCTTTCAGACACTTGCAGATAAAACTAACTGTCATGGCACATGCTGAGCGAGCACCCTTGACGGATGGCGAGCTGACCCGAACCCACAGCCGGCTACGACACGTTCGGTCGGACCCCAGCAACAAGGGCGGCCAGACGCCAGAGCAACACGACAGCATGGCCACATAGGACTCGCGGGGCAACAGGGCCTCACCGCGGCACTGAAGCAACATTAATGTTAGTGGCTGCAACTTACAACTATGAAAAGGAACACTAGAACTCTAATACCTGGAGCAGGAGAAGGGCTGGCGCGACCACACGGTAAACAAAAGACGCAACTCTAGGCTATTTATATGTTTATGCGCCCTCTGGTGGACACAAATATGGTAGCCAAGTCCAGCTTGCCACACTTGCAATACCAACCCGGGCCGATGGGGGTGGACCCAGAAGAAGAATTAGCCCATGCTAACATATAACAATGGCAGACCTCTCAAAAACGTCTTTACAGGATGGTCCAAAAGTTGGCTCTTGGCCCAAAGCTCCGTTCTACATGTGTATCAATGCTGAGGGGAGTGATTTTTTTTGGTTCACTCTAGTTTACTTGCTGTGAACTTTTGAAGTCTCTCATTCAAATGAATGGAGCTCTCGCCGGCCGTTTTTTCACAATTTTCTTGTGGGCGGGACCAATCGCAGCCATTTTGGATAGCTCCAGTAGAGCACATTTTTTGGCCCATTTGTTCGAACGGCGGAGATAGGCGTGACTACGGCCATTATTTTTTACAGTCTCTGGGTAAAACTAGCAAAACACTTTGAAAGCACTGCTCATTACTCGGGTAAACTTTAAGTATAGTTGCTCTGAGTTCTATGAGAGGATCAGTGAAAACCGTTGCATCTTGAAATACTAGTGTAAGGAGTTTATATTGATGTTTTGTTTTGGTTATGCCCTGTAGTTATTACCTGGTTAGGACCAAGCCCCGGCGATCCAAGATGGCGCCCTATTCAAATGAATGGTTGTGCTCAGTGGCGCTTTGTGACGGCATGGGGGCTGAAAGATTAGCGGAAGTCGCCTGAAACTCGCAAAGATCTATGGGAAACTCGCCTGTATTTGGGCATCGTCTGGTCCTCCCGGTTCTGCGCAGTGGATGATCTCCCATAATGCGTTGCGTCAAACACGCGTGTGTGGGTCTCACACCGGGTCTCACGCACGTGCACAGAGGGGCTCGGCCGCGCTCTGACCAATCAGAGCAGTTCATCAGAGCGAGAGTTAGAGCGAGAGCCAGACGAGCAGAGTTTGTGGCACTAAAGTGTGGATTTAAACAAAACCGAAGGATTTGAGAAGAAAAAAAGTTCAGGATGACAAGGGACACTAAAATCCCCACAAAATCCGACCTTTATGAAAGCTGTAGGTTCTCTGTCAGCTGAGGTCGAGCTGTTTTAATATGCATTGAGTTCTATGGGGAAAATTTCTGGGTAGCCCACGTGAATTTAGTCTGGTTCAGTCTGCAGTACCGCGAGAATCCCCTGAGCACACGGGTTATTCAGCTACAAGCTGTAATACCCTATCCAGTTATTATAATAGATCCATGGTTAGGACCTATTTTGAGTGCGTATAGGGATCTCCCAGTCACATGACCCATAGCTGCTTGTCAGCCATTTTGACGGAATCCGTCCGCGTTTGACGGCGTTCACTCTTCTGCCTCTCCTGCGGGAAGTCACAGCTCCTTTGGGTCCGTGGGAATTGTGCTCGTGGGAAGCCTCACGCATCGGTTTGGTGCCCTGTTGGCACGCATGTGGGCTTGTGCGGTGTGAGCGAAAGGCCTTCTGTTCTTTGTGGTGAGTGCGCATCATTGTATCTCTCACACCTCCACTTGCTGCACATTTGGCACTCACGCGCTTTTCTGCTGCTCCAGTGTGGCAATCTTTAGTGAAGGGCTGCGTGAGCCAGTTGTGCTTCTCAGCCGTTATTTGTGGGTAAGCATGGTGCCCATCTTCCCTTTGATCCATTTGGCTGTCCCCTGCAGTCACCCTGACTGTCTCCTTGTCCTTTAGTTGGTGCGCAATTACGCACAGCGGAGGTCGAGCGCGCGCCTCTGTTCGGGCCGGAACCGGTGCTTTTTCTGATTGGTGAGTTGCCATTATTACCTGATGTCCTGATGTCTGCCCAAATTCTAATTTTTAGTGTTCTAACCCATGCTTCCCCGCACTTCAGCGGGACCGAGCTGCACCTCCCGCGGCAGTATGGAGACTGCCAATCATCACGAGTATACAAATTCTGAGCGCTGTTTCCACCGGCGCAACTCCTCCTGCCCCTGCTGCTCTGGATTGACCCCACAGGCCAGAGTCGCTCCAGCTGTGGACACTGGTAACCAACTCTAGGCTAAAGAGCGCCTGGACAACTGTAAATGTTGTAAATATTTAACTGTAAATATTGAATTTGGGATTGCTTAGTTTTTTTTGGTTTGTTAGTTGCGTGTGTGTGTGTGTGTGTGTGTGTGTGTGCGTGTGCATGTGTTTTTCCTTTTGCTTTTGCCAATTGTGATGATTTTCCAAATGTTTCTAACTTAAAAATGTTTTTAACAAAATAAATTTTGTACTTTTATAATAAGGTTTGGTTTTGTCTCTGCCCCGTCATTTTCAAAGAGGGAAACGAACCTGTGTCTGCCTTGTGCAGGGTCCTAGGGCGGCACGGTGGCTGAGTGGATAGCACTCTCGCCTCTCAGCAAGAAGGTCCTGGGTTCGAATCCTGGCCGGACCAGGGCCTTTCTGAGTGGAGTTTGCATGTTCTCCCTGTGTCTGCGTAGGTTTCCTCCGGGTACTTCGGTTTCCCCTACCACTAAAAACATGTACAATAGGTCTGGCATGCGCCTCCTGTTCGGCGACCCCGCTCCCATCTCTGTGTGGAGTGAGAGGACAAGTGCCCAAAAATAACAATTGTAAACCGCTTTGTGACTCTGGTCTGTGAAAGGCGGTATATAAATAAAGCTTACTTACTACCTACTTACTTACTTACCCTAGGTGGCGTTGTTGACAATAGCTACATTTTAACCTGTACTTTAAACTCTCGTCATGCCACATATATACTGTATTCTCTAATTATCATTTAATGGTGTTGATTGATTGATATGTATTTGTTTGAGAGTGGCTAGCTCGACTAGCTTCTCTGCACAGTAGTGACAGGCACTGAAAGCTCATTGTACTTGTATTTTTGTCATGAAAACATGAACAAATAATTCTGAAAACCTCTGTGCATCCGGTATAAAGATAATCCTTTTGTCTGATCACGTATCTGGTCGCATCCAACTGCACAGCATCGCTCCGGCATGATAGGAACATTTCGCAAAATAGGTCCTAAACAGGTAATATGTTTTACTTTGTTTTGTTTTTTGGCAGCCACTGTTTATTTAAAATTTAATTGCCAACACGTTTCTTCAGGAGTAAATGTTTATAAGCTGTAGCACCTTTTGACTGCAATGCATTTTTGCTTAGTTTTGTCACAAATATGATTTTTAGTTATGTCAAAATGTCCCAGTTTTTCATTTTGAAAATCTGGTCACCCTACCTTATAAGTAAAATCCTTTCTCTCTTTAACTTTCTGCAGCTGATTACAATATGCTCCACTGTCTCTGGCACATTACAACCATCACAGTTTCCTGACTGATGTTTACCCATTAAATGCAATGTATTATTAGGGCCAGAGGGCCCTATTCTCATTCTTGTTAAAATTGTCTCTTCCCTTCTACATCTCATGACCCGACGGCCCTGACCAACCTCAGGAGTTATCTTATAAAGACCCCTACCTCTGTCTTCTCTCTCCCATTTCTCTTGCCACAATCCTTTGACATGCTTTACTATGATTGACTTTGCCACAAGGCTTTTTAGCAAATTTGTCTGCCAGCTCATTTCCCAAATTGTTGTGGCCCAGATGTGGCCCACAACACAGGTGTTGATGTGGCCCACATACCGCGTGGATGTCCGGCGATAGCATGATTCTAACTCGTATGCCAGATGTGGCCCACATCTGAACCTCATTAGGGCCATATATTTACCAGATCTTTACCACATCAAACACAAGTGGCCCGAGCACGGGCCAGAGACGGGGCATCTCTGGCCCACATCCGGCCCAGTTCCACTCCCAGATTTGGCCCACATCTGAACTTTATTAGGGCCAAATGTTTGTCAGATATTTACCACATCAAACACAATTAGTGGCCTGAGCAAAAATGTGACCCACACTCAATACCACATGATAAATGCATTAATAAATCAAATAATAAATACATTTGAAATTATTTATTAACAAAAGTTGAAAAATGTGAAACAAATTATCTTAATAAAATATTAAATGAACAATTGGGACAAACTAACAAAAACAAAAAGGCAAATCAGGAAATTTCAACATGAACACAATTTTACAACAGAATCAGAATCAGAATAATTTTTATTGCCACGTAAGTAACAGGAGGTCACAGACTTGGAAATTGCTTTGGCTCAGTGCAACAGTCAAAAAGAGATAATAAAAATAAGAATAAAAAACACTTCTAAAGAATAAATTTAAATTTAAAATAGAGTTACAGTTACTATTTACAATATACAAGTGCACATGGTGCACACAATGTAAGGTGACAGCAGTACAGTGAAGTAAAGTGACGTATGATGGGCAGTAAAGTGACTTTATAAAGGGCGGGGTACAGGTTAAGAAGTGTTCAAGAGTCCAACAGCAGAGGGGAAGAAACTGTTCTTGTGGCGGGAGGTTCTAGTCCTGATGGACCGCAGCCTCCTGCCTGAGGGGAGTGGTTGGAATAGTCCATGTGCAGGGTGAGAGGGGTCGGCTGTGATACGACCAGCCCGGCCTCGAGCTCGGGCGACGTACAGGTCCTGCAGCGATGGAAGGCTGCGGCCGATCACTTCCTCTGCAGAGCGCACAATGCGCTGTAGTCTCTGTTTGTCCCTGACTGTGGCTCCAGCGAACCACACGGTGATGGAGGAGGTGAGGATGGACTCGATGATGGCCGTGTAGAACTGCACCAACATCTGTGCAGGCAGCTTGGCTTTCCTGAGCTGCCGTAGGAAGTACATCCTCTGCTGGGCCTTCTTGATGAGGGAGCTGATGGTCGGCTCCCACTTGAGGTCCTGGGTGATGGTGGTGCCCAGGAAACGGAAGGACTCCACAGAAGTGATGGGGGAGTCCATCACGGAGGGTGGGGGCGGGGGGACAGTGCTCTTCCTGAAGTCCACAATCATCTCCACTGTCTTCTGGGCGTTCAGCTCCAGGTTGTTACCACTGCACCAGGACACCAGCCGGTCCACCTCCCTCCTGTAGGCGGACTCATCGTTGTTGGAGATGAGTCCAATGAGGGTGGTGTCGTCCGCGAACTTGATCAGCTTGATCTTGACAGGCCTCAGTCCTGGAATTGCCTTGCGTGAGACGCCTCAACACTCGGCTCACGCCGCTTCCGGCCTTCTCTCTCTCTCCTTCCCCCATCCCGGTCAGGAGCAAGGTGCAACCATCTCTTTATTAGCATTTCCACCTCCTGGTTGGTTGCCCGGCTTGACAGAGGGTTATTTCTGACAGTCTCTTAAAAGAAGAATAGATGTAAAATTAGTGTAATAACGTGTGCCGAAACCAAAAACATAATAACAGCCAATTAAAGCCAATAACGTAATACATTTGTGTGGCAACAACAATGTATTACTTTATTGGCCTTATAAAAAACAATAATAAAATAAATTGCCCAAAAAGAACCCTCCCCCCATAAAAAATAAAAAAGAATATGACATAATGTGACAAAAACAAAGCAAAAAAAAAAATGTGTAATTCACAGAAATACAGTCAAACAGTATCAATCTTATCAAAAAACATTTATCAATAAGCGTCTCCAGCTGCATTAACTGACTTTATTTTCGTATTCATTACGAAAGTGCTATCCATGTCCATGTAGTGGAATACACGTCCTTTTGAAGAAAAAGTAGCGCAGATTTGTGCTGGAGTGACATTATATTTTAGATCGAGTTTTGATGAAACAAGGAAGAGAATGTGTTTCGGGTCGCGGATTGTGTGACGTGTAAATCCATATTCATGTATTATCCATATTGGGAGACCCTAGCTTCGTCCCAACAGTGGGTGTGTGTGGGGGGCGATTGCTTCGTGGGTGCGGGGAGGGGAGCAGAAAGAGAGAGGCCAGCGAGTCCGCGGCTTCAAAACCCCAAAGTCAGTTAGTGCAGCTGTACAAGAAACTACCGGTCTGGTCAGTGTCTGTCAGAACTCGAGAAGCAGAATCAGAGCAGAGATCAGTTGCGGTCAGTTCGAACGGCGTTTGTCAAAATTCGCGCTCTTTGAGGGAGGGAGGAGGAGAGAAGCATAGACATATATATAATAGACGCCGCATTGGTTGCTCGGGCACGAGAAATACGGCCGCCATCTTGGACCGGTCATCATACAGCGCGATGCCTGAACACTGTGCGGCGTATGGCTGTCAAAATAGGCGGACTATTCAAAACAGGGCTCGTGGGATTACTTTTCACAAGTAAGATTTAACATTATTATTGGTTGTACTAGTTTGTTAATGGAATATTACTGAATTGTATTTATGTCACCAACGAAATCAGATACAGAATATCTATTGAATAGCAAACAAGCTAACTTACAGCAGCTTTGGTTCATTATCAAAATGCGAGTTTTGTTGAAGAGATGTTCTATATTTGAAGGAGGAAAATGGGAAGAAGGAATTAGGAATAATAGGAATTATGGTTATATATATATATATTTTTTTTTTGTTTTATTCATGTATTTGCATTTTGAAGGTTTCCCAGAGACAGAAATGGTAGGAAGAAGTGGGAAGTGGCTATGAGGAGGGAAGGATTCACTGCAAGTGATTCATCCGTGCTTTGCAGTGAGCATTTTAAGCAGGAAGATTTGGACAGGACAGGTCAGATTATCCGACTCAGAGATGGTGTTGTTCCATCCATCTTCAGCTTCCCGGTTCATCTCCAAAGAGTAGGTTTATCACCATAAGGCTTTTGTCTCTTCAAATTGTTTTGTATTCAGTCCCACACAAGTGTCATACCAGTAAGTATGCAAACATGATGCTCATTTATTACATTTTTTTTCAATGTTCAGTTGCAACTGTTTTTTGTTGGAATTGTCTTGTATTCAGTGTGTTTCAGGTCCCACATGCTTCTAAATGGTATGTATTACACCACATCAAGTTTTTGCAGGTGTCAGAAGGATGGTATGTACGTTATTATTATGTTCTCTTGCTTCAATGTCTTTCAATCTGCAGTTTTGTTTCTATTTTAATTATCCTATATTCAGTGTGTCTCAGGTATAGATGTTTCTAAATGGTATGTATTACACAAAATGCATGTAGGTGTCAAAATGGTATGTATTGCATGTGTTCTTGTTCACAAGTTTTCCCAGTTCAAGAATTGGTTATTACACATTACTGATGGATATGATGGAAAAATCACTTTACTGCTTTGAATGAACATGAATGTTTTGCCATGATCAGCAGAATCATTTTTTTTTCTTTTGCAGATATTTGTCTGTCATTGGCTTTGTCATTAACATTGACACGTTGATGGTGATGATTCCTGAACTGCTCCAAATTCAGCGGTATGTCCTCACCTACAGGTTCAGCCAGGATCACTTGGAGCTCCTTTTTAATTCAATTAGAGCGTCAGGTAGGGTTGATGTTCTTATAATTACAATAATTCGGAAAAATTACTTGAAGAATATCTTTGTGTGTTATATCTTGTGTGTATTTTGTGCCTGTTTTACATACAAGGTGGCTGGAATAACAATCCGTCTGCACGCCAGTTCCAGGCCATCTTCCGCCATCTGATGGTCCGGTGTGGTGTCTCTCCTAGTGAGACAGGCAATGTGGCAGCCCAAGATGACACTGTGTCCTTGTCTGCATTAGAGATGTCGTCTGCTGAAACTGCTGAAGAGCACCCATCTCCATTTGCCAACATTTCAGCTGTTGTGTGTGACCATAGCTATCTTCCCACTCGGTTTGGAGGTCTGGTGGAAAATTCTCTGGTCTACATAGCAGGATTTGTAGTCCGGCAGTAGATTCTGTAGATTCTGCGCAAGCTGTCCTGTGATGTTCATTCATTTCATTTTTCATTTATTTATTTATTTCAGGCAGAGGGCAACATAGAATATACAGCAGAAAACAAAACAAAACAAAAAAACAATCCACTTCCACCTGAAAGGGAGTGGGAAGAAGAAAACTTATTTAATCCCACCCCCAGTTCCCCACTCAGAGCTCAACAGACTCAACTTCACTGTCACTATATATATATATATATATATATATATATATATATATATATACATACATACATACATACATACATACATATATATATATACATACATACATATATATACATATATACATACATACATACATATATATATACATATATATATATATATATATATATATATATATATATATATATATATATATATATACATATGTATATATATATATATATTTATATATATATACATATGTATATATATATATATATATATTATATATATATATATATATATATATATATATATATATATATACATGTGTGTGTATGTTTCAGTATTTCACTTGTTGAATAAATGTCCCTAACATTTTGTGAGTAGTGTATAGATACAACATTGTGTATTATGCAAAATTCCTGTCATACCATCACATATTATCATAAAATCAAAATATTCTATTACTGTTAAACCCACTATGAATATTAACATACGCCAAACCATGTGTCCTGTGTCATAGCTACATGTGTGTGGTTTACAGTAAAAAAAAAAGTGTGAAAATCAGTGAAGTATTCAGCGAGTTATGATTGATTAAATGCGCTGACTCGTCACTGCGCCTGCTGAACAGATTACTCTGAGAGGAGCGGGCGACCGGTCCAAGATGGCGGCGCTACGGCTCGTCGGCGCCAATGGACAGTAGCGGTAGATGCGGCGTCTATTCTATATATGGCTATGATTGGGACGCCCTACGCACTCGCACCCATCATCGGGAACGCGCAAATGAGGGGTGCGAGTATTGGGACTGGGCCATACTGTGCTGCCAAGTTGTTCAACAATAGATATTCCCAGACAAGAGGCTAAAGATACCAACGTGAGAGCATCGTTTATTCTCCACTAGCATCTGTCCTTAACAACGATCTTTGTGCTTCATAAAGTCAGCAGCTGATTGGAGCAGAGGGAACATCTGCATGATCCCCGTGTAGAGCTCCTTCTACCACCGCAGCTGCTCCTGCTCCGTGCGATCGGTGAGTGTGTGTTATGCTAGTGCTGTTAGCGTTAGCATTAGCCACAGGCCGCTAGCATCTTTTACTGTCTGTTCAGTGGACATCCATTCGTCTGTTTACTTTAACCGTAATATTAACAGAGTTCTTGGAGCACGTTCACCTCCTGTATCTATCGTTGTCTTTTATTCTTCAATGTTTGTCCTTTATTGTATAAACTACTGTGTAGCACTGAGTCCAAGACAAAGTGTCTCTCCTGGACAAGAACGTCTGTATTTAACGGGAGTGCACCATGAGTCGGACACTTTCTGGTGCCTATTATGCTGAGTCGGACACCGTTCATCTGTGGTAAGTTTTGTCTGTTTATATTAAGATTTTGATAGAGTAATCCGCGTTTGAAAGCAGTTCTGACTCTACTGCGACGGTCTGTTGTTAGTTTTGGAAGTGAAAATAGTTCTGGACCAACTTCAGAACAGCCTCAGTCTGCATCACGTCATGTTCATCTACATCTGTCATTCAGATGTAAAATACTGTCTGAGGCTTTCTAGAGGTAAAGTTAAACCTGATGTGAAATTATGAGACTAAATTAAACATTAGCAAAAGTAATATAAGTTATATTTCTACCAAATGATTGCACTTTTATGAGCGAAAATGCGTTGCCTCAATCTATGTAACAATTATTATTCAGCACGACATGGACAGAAAGGTTGGAAGCACACAGACTCCTGCTCGGGATTGAGATTTAAAAACATAACATAAAAACATGTACCCTGTTTGACTTTGAGTGCAAGGTTAAGTGAAGCAAAAATCCGATTTTGTATTTGTTATATAGATTAAAACAATTCTTGAACTCTGCTAGTATAATACTTTAATCTCCTGTTAAAGTAGAGGATATGTACCTGTCTGTTTTGTTATTTAAAAGGAACAAAGAAACGAGGCGGACATGCATCACAAATATTGTTGGAGAAAAGGGTAAATACTTAGATATACAGAGCACATGCAAGAAACAGACCATGGGAAAACTACAGACTACAGGAAAGGTATGTTTGATTATAGACGTACAACTGCACATGTGATGTAATTGACTAAAGACATTCTTTAAATAAATGCTCTGCTTTTTAAGTTCATTCAAAAGTGTATGAACCTCTGGATGGTGTTCAGTGCATTAAAAAGATCCTCCACTGCCTTACTTGCATGGTCAAATGTATTTACATGTGTAAAACCATTCAAGACAGACAGCATGCAGGCTCCCTTCTTGTTTTTTAATGAAAATGCTACAATATAAAAACAGCATTACCAACAGCTGTCAGGTGAAATTCTGCCACTGTGTGATCAATAAAGCGCTAACTTCTCCATCTCCTCTTTCAGGACAGGAGTCTCTAAGGTGTCCTCTGTGAGGACGGGAACCTCTGACGTGTCCTCTGTGAGGACGGGAGCCTCTGACGTGTCCTCTGTGAGGACGGGAGCCTCTGACGTGTCCTCTGTGAGGACGGGAGCCTCTGACGTGTCCTCTGTGAGGACGGGAGCCTCTGACGTGTCCTCTGTGAGGACGGGAGCCTCTGACGTGTCCTCTGTGAGGACAGGAGCCTCTGACGTGTCCTCTGTGAGGACAGGAGCCAAGTCTTTGACATGACAGATGAGCATGTTCCTGAAGAACCCTGATCATCACAGCTGCAGCAGGTGAGCAAAATTCTAAGTGCATCCAGACTAGGGTTGCCAACTTGAGAACAAAAAAATAAGGGACACCATTTGGGTGGATCGGGTTGAGCACTTTTTAGTCCTAATTTCAGTCTACACAGTAATCATGGAATTTCACAATCACAGTTTTTAGATTGTAATTTATTGACTACATATAAAAAAAAAAATCCTTAGTCAAAAATGAAATTGAATAAATAGGTGGAACTCTGGCTGGTTAAGGACTTAATGCATTCTTATTAGTAATATAAAAAAAATAAAAAATATAAAAAAGACAAATACTGTAACATACATTATTTATGAATGTTACAGTAAAGACCAATTTCTGTAAAAGCAGATAAAAAAAAGAAAAACATATGTATTCATTAAAAACTCACAAATCAGTCTGTAGTAGTTCATCTACTAGTTCATGTAGTAGTCATCATTATTTATATTGTCTGAGTTTTGTGCAGGTTTGTGGCTTCAGTAAAAGCTATTGTTCGTTTACAAAGCTGGTCTGGACATTTGTTGACGGTCCCTAAGTGCTTTTCTCGGCGCTTGCAGTGCATTGGATTCAGAGGATTTCTCTGCATTTAAACAGCGCATTGAATTTGTAAAACATAGAGATGATCATTTTAGCACAATTACTTTTGTTTAACAAAGTAGCTTTCGTGAGCTATTGACCGCGGAAGTCCGAATTTGGGAAAATGACGCTACTTTACCAAACTTCTGACGTGATGGTGCTGCGGGCACGGCCCACGCTGGCGATTGTCAACATTAAACCAACGTCTGAGATCAAGCCTACGCCCCTTTGACACTGATTGGCCGAAAGGTAGATCAATCAATCAATCAAAGTTTATTTGTAGAGCGCCTTTCATACACATGGCAACACAAAGCGCTTCACAGTCCACATCACAAATCATCACATAAAACAAACACCAGAATCACAATTAAAACATTAAAATCACACAAAAGATTAAAACACAATTAAAACATTAAAATCACACAAAAGAATAAAACCATTAAAACTTTCAAAATTACACAAGAAATTTAAAAAAATAAATAAATGACAGCAGTGCATTAAAAATGGAGATAAAATCCTTCAGTTGTATGCACAGGCAAACAGAACAGTCTTTAACCTGGATTTGAACATTGACAGAGTAGACGCCTCCCTCACATTTTCAGGGAGATTGTTCCAGATCTTAGCTGCATGGATCTGAAACGCAGCCTCCCCATGTTTGGTTCTCACTCTGGGCACCAGCAGGAGGCCAGTCCCTGTGCTCCTCAGAGTCCGGGCCGGTTCATATGACACCAACATGTCACTAATGTATTCTGGTGCAAGGCCATGGAGAGACTTGTACACAAGCAGAGCCGTTTTAAAATCTATTCTTTGAGCCACAGGAAGCCAGTGCAGAGACCTGAGGACCGGACTAATATGGTCATACTTCCTGGTTCCTGTCAGGACTCTAGCTGCTGCATTTTGGATGTACTGCAGCTGCTTACAGGTCTGTTTGGACAGACCTGTAAGCAGGCCATTGCAGTAGTCTAGCCTGCTGGAGACAAATGCATGGACAAGAATCTCCAAGTCTGCCCTGGACACTATATTTCTAACTTTGGCAATGTTCTTCAGATGGTAAAAAGCTGTTGATGTTATTGATTTTATGTGGCTATTGAAATTTAGGTCTGAGTCCAGTATTACCCCCAAATTTCTGACCTTCTTAGATGCTTCAACTGTGATCATTACTGTGTGTGTGTGACATGCAGTGAGTGAGTGATGCGTTTGAGGTGGCTCTGAAAATACGGGACAAAAGCCGTCCCGTATCAGTTCAATACGGGACGCACATAGTTTTTCTATAATAAGGGACAATTCCGTATTTCAAGGGACGGTTGGCAACCCTAATCCAGACACAAACTACAGTTTATAGATGTTTCAGCTGGAGAGCAAAGACCTGCTGTGTCCATGTCCCTCAGACCTCCATGTCCTGTCCATGTCTCTTCGAGCCAGAAAGATTTTTACATTTTGTTTAAACAAAACTGGTAATAGAAATTAAGACTGTAATAAAAAAATAGTTCAATCCATTCTCCATTTGACCCAAACAGTGATGAGTCCTGCTTGGATTGTAGACACACTGTCATTTCGTTCTGCAGTCAATATGGAGTTAGCTGAGACTAAGCCTCTCCTCACAAAGACTATGGAAGATTCAACAAATCCATTTATTGATCAGTTGTTTATTACAAAAATCAAGGCTGTGTCGTCACCTCCTGTGGACTCCCCACCTGCAGGAGGACCAGGGAGGGGCTCTGTGGACTGCCAGGACTGGGTGCAGCTCTGACAGAAACGGACTTCGGGGAAGAAGATGGATGCTTATAACAACTATTTAAAAAATGATCGACCAATTTCAATAATCAACTATTTAAGTAATCAATCATTTAGACTTGTGCTGTCACAAGACTAAATACTAATTCTAAATACTAGAAAACTAGTATTAACACAATACATATGTTTTAGCCTTATTATTAATCATGCATCGGTTTTATATAGTGTGTTTTGAACACTCGAAGCTTCACATGTCATTATTCTTTCACTGCATATGTCATAGGTTTAAAAGTGTCTGTTGAGGGGGTCAATAAAAAGGCAAGAGGATAAAAAGGGGATACAAATTTAATAAATTATTTACAAAATGTCCATTTAAAAAAGATGATAAAGCCCAGAGTCGCTCGTCCATTCCAGCCACTCGCCGACCACGGGTCGTCACCGGGCACCCGCGGGGGAGAGCCGGCACATCCCAGTCGTGAGTGGGCCTAGCCCGGGCGAGCACGCGCCTTTTCCACTGTCAATGCGCGCCCCCTCACCGGTGCCGCTCCCCCCACTGGCCTCAGTCCCCCGTGGTCTCTGGCTGGCAGTGCTCGTCCTTGGCACGGTCCCGTGTCCTCCTCCTCTCGTCTCCTCTCGTCTCCGCGCTGTCTGTCTCTTTCTCCTGCAGTGCCCGCCCGCAATTTCAGGTCTTGTTGATTAAAAACAGGTGTGGGTGATTAGGGGAAGTGTCCTAGGAACTGTGATTAAAATGCAAATAAAAACATAAACACACCACAAAAATAAAAGCAGTTAAAAGTCCTTGTTAAAGTTCACTGTCCCACACATACACAGTGGTAAATTAGAACCATGCAAAAATGTATATATTTTTCTTCAATTTTTTTCCATTAGAGAGAGATCCTTTATTTGTCCCATAGTGGGGAAATTTTGGTGTCAGCAGTCTGAGCAGATGTCCGGACGTCCCACTCCACACACTTCCTCCAGCTCATCAGGAGGAATCCTGAGGCGTTGCCAGGCCAGCTGAGAGACACAGTCCCCTCCAACATGTCCTGGGTCTTCCCTGGTCTCCACCGAGAAGTGAAGTTGGCTGAATGACTAAGTTTACAATCTCACCAGCTACATTAGTGCAATCAGCTGATGCTTTAGGATACAAGTCATTATCTACAAGATGAAACATTGGGACCAGGGCTCTCTGTGGGTCACAGGGACCAGGGCTTATAGTGGAGGTTTGAGGGTAAATTTCTTCAGTGCAGTACAGAGTACAGAGCACAGAGGGATACATACCACCTCACTCCTAACATCACAACCTTTGAACTTTTGAATACCTGTTCACTTCACACTGTCTAAAGCAAGAGGGTTCTCACTTTTCATGGTTTATTGTTCTCTAATGTTCTCATGTTCTTGTTTTACAGTATAACCCTTCTCATCCTCAAAACCTGAAGCACTTCTTCTCATCTCCTGCCTGCATCCCTTAAGCATCTCATTGAATTTTGAACTTGGATATTTGGAGTATTTTGGGTGTGAAGATTGAGTTCTTGTCAGAGACAGCTCTTCCTTCATTGTGCATCCACTTTATCTATTGTTAAAACAAAGGCATGGTTAGGGATGTTTGTAAGCTTTGCACACATGCAAACACATGTGACATTAACATAACAATAATAACATTCAGAGCATTAAACTTACAGATATAAACGGTTCACATCATGACAAACTGGAGCAGAGCTGGGTCAGTCTCTGAGATCAATGTGAGACACCGAGACACTGCAGGGGTTTCAAACAAGGCTTTATGTCTGTTCATTTTTATATCAACATGTATACAATTCTGTGCCACATCCTTAGGACTTCATGTGTTTAATAAAAGATGATTTATAACAAATAATGTTGACATGTAAATCTTGTCAACTTATGTCTAATAAAACTAAAATGGTCCAATTACTGCTTTTGTCTTTGGTATTATGTGTAAGGTAAAGCTATTTTTGTAAAATTACCATAATTGTTTGTTACAGTGATTGCTACGTTTTTTAAAGTTTGCTAGTTTACTTTTATGGTCATTTCGGACCATATGCGCCAGCGCCGCGGAGCCGTGAGAGAGCGATGGAACCCGTACAAACTCTGGAACCGGCCGCCTACGTCCTGCTCGCGTCAGGACGTTCTGGTGTGAAGTCCTCTGCGTCTGAAAACTAGAGAATGCACGTCTGGTGAGCGGGGCTTCAGCGTTTGAGCGTTTGCGGTCTGAATGCACGATAAGACAGTAATTCATAAAAATACGGGATGCTCTGAAACAATATGGAGTGGGACTCCATCTCCTCATTCGACTCGACAGATGACACCGAGACCGAAGCAGATGTCCCTGGGCTATCTGCGTCACAACATGGTAAGAAACCTTCTCTATGAACACAGTTACAATGTTAAAAGATTAACAATAGTTATTGTGCTGCTGCATTACAGACGCGGAGGCAGATACTAGCCTGGACAGTGACGTCTCATCTGCTCAGGAGAGTGAACCCACTCGAGCCAGCGGGAGGCTTGACATACCTGGGGCCAAATCAAGAAAAAGAAAAGCAAGGGACGGGATGACGACTTCGCCAAATATATGGCAGAAAGCAACAAGGTTTTGGAGGAAAAGAGGGAGGCAGAGACCAGGCAGTTAGAACAGGATCAGGCTCTACAGAAGATGCTCAAAGCGCAACAGGAAGCAGATGAAAGGAGATTTAGTGCCTTGATGACCCAGCTGCAAGCCTCAAATCAGCTGATGGCAAATTGTTTTTCGCAACTCATGAATATGGTGACCACACAGGTTCCTTCTTCATCATCCTGGTCTGGTGGTCCGTCTCATCAGAGCCCCCCTTATCATGTTCCACACAGCTCCCATCAGCTGCCACCCTCTGGGGCTCCACCACAACACCAGTCCAGACTATTATAGCAACAAATTGTAAGATATACAAGGTTATATCTGTGTGTTGTAACATGCATAACTCAAGGTTTTAATGTTTGTTTTCTTATCAGGATGTTTACCTGTGTTTTATGTTAGTTACATCTAAAAGCAAACTTTTCAAACATACTTTGTGTTAAGTTCAAGATGTAATGTAATGACATTTTATGAACTTTTTTTTTTTTTTCAATGCAGCACTTTATTGTGTGTTAATGCACATTTGTTTGATTTGTTGACAAGTAAATAAAACTTACAAAAAATATTGTCTTTAAACCAGTGATTAAAGAGTTCCGTCTAGGTGACGGATTTCCGTCAAATGAAATTGGTCTGGAAAAAAAAATATATATATATAATGATAATAATACACACAATGAAATGATTGATTATAAAAATAATATATAGTAATACATATACGTGTGAATCTGTTTTATATATATATATATATCTCGATGTATAATAATAATTTGAATATAATTGTATTTATATGTATATAGAAATAATAAGTAATATAATCACGAGTGGGCCTTGAACGTGCCGTGGCATCATGAGCGCTCCGCAAATTGTTTGCGATCTTCTTGCAAAACTCAGCGTGATGTAAAAGAGCCAATCAACGAGTCATGGTGCGAAAAGATGAAAGTGGCCGGTGCTTGTGCGTACTTTGCCATAAAAAATTGCATGTATGGGAGTAATGAGAAAAAAAAGTTTTGATTCGCCACCAGCTCAAAACTGCGCACAAGGCAGCTGTTTGTGTCAGATTTTTAAGGGGGCCTCGGTGTTACTGAGTTTGGGAATGGCTGCAATATACAATCTATTATACAATAATATATTGTAATTAAAAATATAACTTGGTCTTGCATATTACTGTGATTTACATGTGATAAATTTCCATGCAAACATTTTCAGTCACATTTTTTTTTTTGCTTTAACCCCTGCTTTAAACATTTATATGTGCTGTAATTCCGAACATGCACACAGGTCATTGACCAAACATTCACAAAAGTCAACGTAATAATTTTGAATCATCTGCAACAAAAATGTAACTGACTCTGCAAAACGGTCTTTTTAAGGTTAACATGAGAACATTCATGCTAATAGACATACTAACAAACACATATTTACAAAGTTGAAAAATATCTACACAGGGCATTGCGGATCTCTGTTGATAATCACCACCTCTCCCCTCTGGAACAGCTTCAACATCGTCATCAGCTTCAGTGTCTCCATACAAATAATTCTCATTATGCATTTCCACAAAGTTGTGCAAAACACAATGTGCCGAATCAATTCGGCCCACAAATGTAATATGGGCATCACATGTCTTCATCAGGCAACGCCATTGTCCTTTAAGGCGCTTAGCACGCTCAACTGTCATGCAACACTGACTCAGTTTGAAGTTTAAGTTGATCTGGTCAGCTGTAACCCCTGCTCCCTCTGGATACGGTTTCATGAGCCATGGGAGGAGAGGATATGTGGAGTCCCCCAGCAGAACCAGAGGCACATCTACACCTTCAAATGTTTCCGTCCAGTCCGGGAATAAAATGCCATTAACCCCTCTTTGTCAATATTCGGTATTGCAACAATAATCAATAGTGAATAACTGATGATTCTCCGTTTATCCCCCGTCAATTTCCCTTCGCCCTCGTTTTGCGTAAATAGACCAACAGTTCCCTTAATCCTACATGATGAGGAACATAATCTTACCGGAGAGATTTCCGAAAATACTTTCGAAAAAGAAGTTGGTTCAAGTTTTGCAGTTTGGCTCTTTTTCGGAGATAGTGTTTTGCAACACGTCTTCTCCGCTCCAAAAACAGCCGCAAAGTGTTCTCGCGCTGAATCCTCGTTACATGTTGGAACAACTGCAGTATTTGGGCTTGCTGGACCATGAAACGATGATTAAAAAAACCAGTCACAAACGCGAGCAGAGTAGCACGGTTCATAGTTGAGGATTTGATCGCTTTTGATTCCCTCTTCACATTCTGCGCCAATCAGCTTTCACCTACGTCATCAATACACAGTATTTTCTGAACAGCGTCACCACATGGCTGGCGCTGTTCACAAACATCCACACTGGTTTGTTCAATTGCAAAAACACTGGTGTGAATGAGAACCGAACTAGTTGAGAACTGCAACATTGTAACAACTTTAGGGCACAATCGAACCACTTTAGTAGACCAACAGGTGTGAAAGCACCCTCAAACAGCATTTAGAAAACCACAGTTAAATAAGGTATTCTTCATATATATGGTTCGAAAGCTAAGACTTCCGTTTTATGCTAGTAACGTTTGCAAAATAGTTAAGTTTTATGTTATTATAGCCCGTTGAAGTGGGTAACCGGTGCTTTTTTTTCAGCCTGAAGTGTCCGACTTAGGATACACATACACTAGCCTCCGACTGGGAACAACTCGGTTCAATCGCCCCAAATCACTGCAGCAGTCTCTGAGGACTTTACAAAGTTGGGGATTTGCCAACAACAGATCAGTGAATCAAACTGTTCGAACACATGAAATACAATAATAACAAACTCATAGGAGCAGTTGGTCCATAGGGAGCAGAGACCACTGTCCACAAATGTTCATAAAAGTACCACATGATTATCTCCTGACCCGCGGGACAAACATGCTCTGACGTCTCTAAGCCTCAACCTTTTTATGTTAAAACAGTCTGTGATGTTTTACCTTTTATTTTAGAGGTACAGAAAATACATATAGTTTCAGTCCTGAAGAAGCAAAATGCATTTAAGAAACCAGAACACTGCGGGGGCAGTGAAGGGGGGGAGAATCAAACCGGTTGAAATCATCCGCCCGGTGCTAGTCTTCATCCACTGTCTCTGGCACTCTGTCCAAATCCGGTGATGTTCTTTAGTCCTCTCCACTCATCGCGGGCGTTTCCCTGGGCCAGCTTCTGCTCCAGCTTTTTCCCCAGAGTCCTTCTTGGCCCTCCTGATCCTCCACTGGAGCTTGTGCTGGATCCTCTTGTATTCTCCTCCTTGTAGCATACGATGACAAATGTGACACGAGTAGCTTCATTACTTGACTTTGATTTGGCACAATAAAACTAAATAGTCTAGGTCACAAAATGTACCTTTTGTCGAAGTGGGTATTCTGTAGGCGCTTCGAGTGTTATACATGTTTTTGTCCACATGATGGCAGTTGAGCAAATAAATCACCTCGAAGCTTCAAACCATGCTGTCTGCTTTGCCTCATTGCTTCACGGGCCTTCATATTGCTTCACAGGGCTTTATATCGCTTCACAAGGCTTCGTATTGCTTCACGGGGCTTCATATTGCTTTACTGGGTATAGTGGCGTATGGGTGGACAGAACCATAAATGCACAATCAGAACCATCCCCAGCTTGCTGCACATGCAGGTTTTGCCTGTCTTCCCCGTGTCTCATCCCGAAGCGCAGCCAAAAATCTCTGAATTCAAGCTTGGGTACCTACATTTTCGCTTGCATTGATAATGCATGTTATTTGTGCACAGAAGTAAACTTTCGTGAACAAATCAAACAAAGTTATGTTTTTATTTTTGCTTACATAAAGAGCCCTGCGAGTCATTTGACTTTTTGGGCTGAGAGTGGATTTTTAAAATATTTCCACATAGTTAGTGCCACTGTGAGATTTCATAACACTTTTAAGCAACTTTTGTTAAAGTTAAACTCATCATTCTATCAATGTGCAGAAGCCTGTACTTTTCCACTTCATGTTTTGACTATCTCTGCTGGCACTGTGGAAGCTGCTGATTGGAGGTCTCCATGCCTCCGCTCTGTATAATACACTTGCATTCTGTGTTCGTGCTGTCTCTACCATCGACAATAAAACATGTCTTCTGTCTGAATTAAAGACGCGATCCCAGACTGTCATCTTCTTCACCACTTTATTGCCAAATTGTTGTTAACTTATTGTGTTTAAATTATTGTTAGTCTCAAATTATTTTTGGTTGTTATCTTAGACGTTGAATTTCATGAAAACGTAAGGTTTTAGAGGGTGGTTGTATAGTCGGCTGTAGGTTTTACTGGTCTGCCAGCTGTGCCAGGCCTTAATGGGTTAATAAGTGTGGTGTGTTTAGCGTTAGCAATAGCCCTCATTGGTCTTCCTCACATATACTCCGGCAGGTTGATGTTCTTTTTTTTTTCTTGCCTAATCTATCCCTCCATCTGATTGGATTTTGTCATGGTCTATTTTTGTCTTATTTTAGTTTTTGTTTTGTTCCCAAAAATATCAAATATATTTGACAAAAAGTATGACGGTAATATTTTTTCATCGAAATTAATACTGCACTAAAGTTCATAAAACTAACAAAGAAAATAATCAGAAGTTTTCTTTATTTTTAAGTTTTCATGCTAGGATTTTACTGCCTACTTGGGAATAGATTTCCCTTCATGTGAGCCCTGAGGGAAATCTATTCCCAAGTGGGTAAAAATACCCACATGAAGCCGGGTATTTTTATAACCGAATATTTCCCCCCGTCCGTTTTCGGGAAAAAAAGAAAACCCTGATCCACACCTAACCGTACATGTGCGTTTTCAATCACTCCAAACATGTGCGTCCTCTGACGTCCTGCGTTGGGGAAAAATAAAACAGAAGTGGGCTGAGCTGTTATACTAAAACTGGTGTTCTTCTGTAGCTGACTTTTAAGAACAGAGTAAACACACACAACACACAGTCACACTGCAGTCACAGTCGGTGTTGCATGTAACAAAATTACAATTTAAGCAATGTAGTGTAACGCGTTATTATGAAAATACGTTTAATTATATTGCAGTTACTACCTAAACACTTTGTTACCGGCAACATCGGTCTTGGGAAAGTAGCGGAAAGCTGCACTACCACTGTATGCGTGCGTGCTTACGTCATGTTGAGCACGTGAGCGAGTTTTTTTGTAAAGCAACATGGCAGAGCCAAAGGAGAGGAATTCGTTTTACCGGTGGAGATATGCACACTATTTTCACTATATCAGTCAAAAAGATAAAAACTTTGTTGTGGAGTGCAAGCACTGTATTTTCCCCGGTTCTTGTCTGTCAGACGCGAGGGCTGCTCGTGTGTGTCTGTGGGAACTAATTGCAAGTTTTGTAATATGTTTTGTTTGATCAATGGATTTAAAAAAAAGTGTAATTTAAATGGCACCTTGGCCTGTCTTATTATTACCTGTATGCCTTGCATACTTTTTGGGAGAAGTAACTAGTAACTATAACTAATTACTTTTTCAAAGTAACTTACCCAACATTGGTCACAATAGAAGCAGTTTGTGTCAAACTGAACATTTTCAAAGAGACACATCCTGATGTTGGCCTCATGTTCATTTGGTGATAGAATGTGTGAAAGATGAGTGGTATCTGACGTCTACTTTTCTGTGTTTATGGCAGATCTACAAAGTCCATCTGCAGAATGGGGTTCACCTGTGATCAGTGTGGAAAGACCTGCCGCTTTGCTTCTGATCTAAAGACCCACTACAGAACTCACACTGGAGAAAAACCATACAAGTGTGATCTGTGTGGAACAGGTTTTACTACGAAAGAAAAACTCGTGGTCCACAGCAGAATCCACACTGGAGAAAAACCCTTCAGCTGTGACGTTTGTGATCAGAGTTTTAGAGAACGTAATACTCTCAAAAATCATCAGAGGATCCACACAGGAGAGAAACCATTTGAGTGTGACGAGTGTGGAAAAACATTTAAGAGAAAAGAGAACCTCTTAGCACATCAGCATGTCCACACAGGAGAGGGACCTCACCAATGTGACCAGTGTGGAAAGACTTTTACACAATTATCTCACCTCAATGTGCACTACAGAATCCACACTGGGGAAAAACCGTTCGTCTGTGGAGACTGTGGGAAGACGTTTGCTCAGTTTTCAAACTACAAAAGTCATGAGAGAAGTCACACTGGAGAAAAACCATATGCATGTGACCTCTGCAGTAAAACTTATCGAACTGCAGCACATCTCACTGATCACCATCGGAGCCACACTGGAGAGAAGCCATACAAGTGTCACCTGTGTGGAACATGTTTTTCCAGAAGAGGAAGTCTCAAAGCCCACAGCAGAATCCACACTGGAGAAAAGCCCTTCAGCTGTGACTTCTGTGGTCAGGGTTTTTCTCACAGTAATACTCTTAAAGATCACCAGAGGATCCACACTGGAGAGAAACCATTTGTCTGTGAAAAGTGTGGAAAGTCTTTTACAAAAAGGTCAAATCTTCATAATCACATTAAAACCTGTGAGAAGCAGGTGTGAAGACGCAGCATCTGGAACAAAGTGAAGGAGACAGAGCTGAGGCTGCATCATGTGAACCCAGAGTCAGACTCTACAGGATCACACTTCAGTCTTAACCCTGTGCTGCAGCTGCTGAGCTTTACAGACCAAACACTTATTGTGGATTTGAACATCTTTACTTTGTGTCTGGAGACTCGGATACATCATGTTTTTGTCTGAAAGGAAAATCTTATGGTTCCTTTAAAGCTGCATCAAGACAGAGTTGGGACGTTTTAACTTTAATTCTCAATAATATTTTATGGCCCTCTTTTGACATTTGTAGACATTGGTCATCTGCCCCTTATGGACCAATGGCTCTGTGTTTATTATCATTACATCTTGTTTGGCTGTAAATTTAAATGAATTGTTCTGGCAAATGAAACGGCTTGAAACTTGACTGTAGATAGAAACTATTGTTGTAAAAGCAGCTGAAAATATAGTTTCACACTTTTGTGCGGCGTCTGAGTGTCCACAAAGCTCTATACAAGTCCCATGTTTTATTATTGTGTGTGATCCATGTGTCTTTAAGGTCATCAGTCACATGCTCTGAGTTTCTGTGTGTGATCCGTGTGTACGTGTGAGTGTTATTATACATTCTACTGTCATGAAGTACTAGTATAAAGTGTGTGTGTGTGTCTTAGTCCTTTCTCACACATCAATGTCAACATATATATTTGTAGAGCGTAATGTGGCTTCAGTGTTGTGTGTTTCATTCAGACCTGTCAATCATTGGTGTTTATCAGTCTTATTCTTGCTTCATGATGTAAATGACGTGGTTTGATTTGTTTGTGAATAAACGTGTGTACAGTTGTGTAGCCGCTGTTGTGTGACATCATTCATATATTGTGATGTTTGTTGTAGAAAAGCACACACACAGTTTGAGCAACATTAAAGGGTGGTTCTAGTGCGGCTGGTTTTAAGGCTGATATATGAACATGTTGGAATCATCACACACAGGATTCTAATCCCTCAGCTCCACATTTATGAAGGAGTATGGCGCCCCCTGCTGCTCTGCTGCAGTATTACAGTCACTGAGAGGCACATTTGAAAGTGAGTGTCTTTGGCTGAAATTGTCCATTGAATGTATTTAGAGAAGGCCTCGTTCAACAACACAGAGACATCACTCCTGAGTCCTGTCCTGTTATGGTCCTGATGAACATCTGAAAGCATCAGTTACACATTTGTGTTTCCTCAGTGTTGGAGCCCAAGCTTTCCCTGGCTTCCTGAGAGTGTATGATTTAAAAAAGTGTGACATGTGCTATAGAAAAGTGTGTGGCCCCGCCCCCTGAGAGAGTGCAGCTGTAAAGAGACTCAGCAGAGACACAGATGAAGAACAGACAACCTCTTTTATTCACCTGTGGATCTTTGATCAGACTTTAGTGTCGTGCTCAGACTGAGCTCTCCTTACAACAGTCTGTAGAAGTCGGGGATTTTCCACTGGATGTTTTGGTCTAAAGGTGGGAGCAGACTTCTCTACTGTCTCCATGGCGACGCTGAGGAGAGCTTCTGTGTTCTGACTTGTGTGGCAAGACCAGGTCTGGTGGTCTATGCCGAGGGTATTGTTACTCGCCGCCTCGTGGTGCTGAGCTGGTGGGCTATTTAAGCGCTCCCATCCCATGTCACTCCCTGTTTGCCCGCACTCTCCGCTGGGCCCTGCGAGTGCTCCTCTCTCCAGTCCCAGGTAAAGTCCCAAATGCGTGGCTCCAAAGTGCATAAACGTCCCCATTTCTTACAATATTATGTCCTTTTAGCGCTGCTATATGACTGCAGCCCCACACCGCTTGTTTGCATGGCTTGAGTGTGTGTGTCGCGCCGGGGCATGCTGCCTCATCTGCTGTGACCGGTATGCCTTTACTCTTTCCCATCCACCCATCCATCCATTTTCTTCCGCTTTATCTGTTGCCGGGTCGCGGGGGCAGCAGTCTAAGCAGAGACGCCCAGACTTCCCTATCCACACACACTTCCTCCAGCTCGTCCGGGGGGACCCCAAGGCGTTCCCAGGCCAGCTGAGAGACATAGTCCCTCCAGCGTGTCCTAGGTCTTCCCCGGGGCCTCCTCCCGGTGGGATGTGCCCGGAGCACCTCCCCAGGGAGGCGTCCAGGAGGCATCCGGAACAGGTGCCCGAGCGACCTCAACTCTAAAAACCCCCAAAATGATCTTGACATTGCTCTGTCCAGAATCAACCACCATTTTTGAGAAAAAAACAACCGAAGCTGATTCACAAGATCCCGTATGGTATGAGTCTGATTCCTAACACTCAGCGCTGCTGCTAGCGTCACTCATGATAAACTGAAACCTACTCATGTATTCTACCTTTAGCGTAGTCATACTTGTTCATGGTGCAGAATTTTGGTTAAGTAAGTGATGCAGGAGACTAGAACGAAGAAACTCGAGAAAGTTTGTGTGAACGAAAATCAAATACAAAGAACATTTATTTTGGGTCTTGAAGTTATTTCTAGTGTCAACATAATTTTAAAATGCAATTTTCCCCAATTCTGGACACCAGATTTTCATGTGGATTGTTTCTAGGAATTGTGAAGATTTTTTTGGCTCCAAACTTAGACTATATAAATCAGACTTTGACAAATAGCCAAAGTGTCTGTCACAGCAGCACCACCAGATTTCCAATTCAATTTATTCATAGTATAGCCCTAAATCATCTGAGGACTTAACAAAACAGAAATCGCCAACACAGTCAGAGAATCAAACTTTTATAAAACACATAATATATAGTAACACCTATAGTATTGGTCCATAGGGGGAGATTAAACAATGTCCATGCGATGTATTGATAAATGTAGAATGTGTCCTGATCATCACCACCGTCCGACCTTGTTGGACCACTAACATCGTCTGACCTTGCATCTGCAAGGAAAAACTTAGTGTGGGGAAAGTGAAAAACCTCAATTTTCATTGCCACATAACAGGAAGTCTCAGACTGGAATTGCTTTGGCTCAGTGCAACAGTCAGAAAGAGGGAGAAGAGAATGCATAGCCTAAAAAAAAATAGGGGGGGTGGGGGGGGGGGGGGGGGGGGGGGGCAAAGGCGGTTCTAGGGGGTGGTATAACAGTGTTTAAAAATGGAATGGATTACAATATACAAGTGCACACAACAAAGTGACAGCAGTAAATGAGAACCACAATTCTGAAACTAAAGGCTACCCATATTTTTGTGATGTCAATACGGACAGCATCCTTTAAGACCAGTGGTCTCTAACCTATAGCACCCTGTGCGCCCCTTTCGGGTAGACTCCCCACAGGATTAGAATTGAAACCATGTCCTGAAATGCAACACTCCAAAGGTTATCAATCTATAAAAGTAAAAAATGTATAAAGATGTATAGCACATTTTACATGTGGTTTCACCAGGTGTGGTCATCATTAATTATGCACAGATTTTGATTACGACTACAAAAAAAGGAGTAGCTCCCTCCCTCATCGTGTTGTATACAAGTAGCTCTCCGTTTGAAATGATTGGAGACTCCTGCTTTTTTTTTTAGACTGTATACTCATGGGTCTTGCTGTTTGTAGCCTGGACGCCACACAGAACCAGAGCCTGATGGGGAAAGCGACTGTGGGGTCAAGGAGAGCTGCTCGGTGGAACTCACTAACATCAGACCCTTCAGCTGTCAATACAAAAGGTAAACAATATTATGTCACAGTTGGACTTTGCTCCATAAAGGACCATCTCAATATTTTCCACAGAGGTGAGCCCTCAAGACACAAGCCTGTCCTCAAGATTAGGCTCCCCAGAGAAGCAAAGCAGAGGTCCTGGTCCCTATTGGTCCTTGGGGTCCCAGCCCTGGTGCCACTTGCAGCAGGTAAGACTCTAAGCGGATGAGACTGCACTTGGCCAGCCTACACTGAGGCCCTGCTCACAGTGAGGATTTGATGAAGAAGACAGTTATCTTCCTCAGCTCTGCTCACACATACTTAAAAGACATCTACATATATCTGCAGAGCTGGAGCGGCAGCAGCCTGTGCTGGACCGCACTACATGCAGGGCTATGAATATTTCACAGGCCGCATAGGGCGCTGCTGGTGGACTGGCTAGTCCAGGTTCACTCCAGGTTCCAGCTAGCTGCAGGAGACTCTGAATCAGACTTGTGGCTGTGCTGGATCGCCTTCTGCAGGGTAGTTGCCAACTCAGTCGTTCCCAAAGTGGGGGTCCAGACCCCCCCCCCCCTCGCCTCGGCCTCTCCCACATCCAGCCTTTATCTGTCTTTGCACAACAGGGAAAGTGGTGGCAAACTTGATCATCGCTTTAGTTTTTAGAATTCTATATGGGGAGATGAGAGAGAAGGGGGGGGGGTGGCTATATTAATATAGGTAGGTGAGCGGAGTGCGAGCAGAGTGCTTGAAATATATAGTTGGGTAAATGTAATATAACATATATGGGTATATTCGTAGAAAAAAATAGGAGGGGGGTAATATAATAAAGCGAGAGAATGTGAGGGGAGGGGGGGGGATATCAACACACGGTGGGGCGGGTTTTTTTTTTTTGTTGGGAACGGGGGGGGTGGGGATGGGGGGGGTGGGTAATTTGCGGTTGTGACACACACACACACACATAAGAGAGTGTGGTTTGTTGTTTGGGGGGGGGGGGGGTGGGGAGGGAGGTGGGAGGTACACTGTGGGTTAGTAAATTATTCTCTCTAGAAAAGGTTGGGAGTGGTGTGTGAATCTGGGGGGGGGGGGAGGACGGGGGGGGTGGGGGGGTGTATAATTTTTTGAAATGGGGGGGGGGGAGGGGATGATGATATAGTGTAGAGGAAGGGATTATAATTTCTATTTAAGGTGGTGTTTTGAGTATTTTGGTTGTGGGGGGGGGGGGGGGGGGGGGGGGGGGGGGGGGGGGGGGGGGGGGGGGGGGGGGGGGGGGGGGGGGGGGTGGGGGGGGTGGGGGTTTACATGGGGGGGGGGGGGGGGGGGGGGAGGGGGGGGGGGGGGGGGACAAAAGTCTTGAAGGGGGGGAGGGATGAGGGAAAGGATGGGGGGGGAGTGGGGGGGGAGGTGGTTGATAGAGGGGATGATGAGAGAGATTATTATTATTAGGTGGTGGTGGTTTGTGTGTGTGGTTGATTGTGGGAGGTAGATGAATGATGAATAATATGAGAAATTAGGTTTGGTGTATGGTGAGTGAGGTAGGGTTTTTGGGGAAGAGGGGGGGGGAATGGATTAGAAGGGGTGTTGGTGTTGTGGGGGTTAGAGGGGGTGTGATTGTGTTTTAGGGGGGGATGGGGATAGGTTTTTTTTTTTTTTTTATGGTTTTATATGGTTTGTAAGATTTGGGATTTTTTTTTTTTTTATAAAGTAAGTGTGGTTGTTATTGTGTTGGGGTGTGTGGTGGTTATAGAATAATAAATTGAAAGTAATTTGAAAAAAATGAAAAAATATTTATAAATGTGAATAAGGATGGGAGAGATAAAGTGTGATAGGTTTTGGGTATTTTTATGTTTTGAGATGTTATAGTGTGGATAAATATGTAAATGGGTGAAAAGAAGAAAATGCTGGCTGTTGGAAGAGGAGAGGCGAGGGGGGGGGGGGGTATGGACAACATCTGGGGAAAGACTGAGTGGCACACTCATGCAGGATGCGAGCCCAGCACAGCCACTTCCAGATACAGAGTCTCCTGCAGCAGCGGGAACCGTGGAGTGGCACCTGGACCGAGCCATTCCCACAGCAGCCCTCATGGCGGCCTTTGGATCTCATAGCCTAGCAAGAAGTGCTGCCCGCACAGGCTGCTGCCCGCTCCCAGCTCGAGCAGATATCTGTAGATTTCTTGTTTACGTAGTGTGACAGAAGGCTGATGGAAGATCACAGTCTTCCTCATCCCACATCCTCACACTGTGAAAGCAGGGCTCAGAGAAGCCTGCACAGTTCAGTCCGTCCTCCTGCATAGAGACATCCTGCTGGCAAGAGGCACTCATGGGGCTGGACCCCAAGGGACATGGACCAGGACCTCTCTTGCTTCTCTCTGGTAGCCTAAATCTAGCAGACAGGCTTGTGTCCTTGGGAGGCTCCCCTCTGTGGAAAACTGAGAATGGTCCCTTATGGAGCAAAGAGTCCAACTGTGACAAAATTGATACCTTTGTATTGGACAGCTGCAGGGTTGAAGTTAGTGAGTTCCCCCAGAGCTACTCTCCTTACCCCACAGTCCCGTCTTTCCCCGAACCGGCTCTGGTTCTGTGTGCTCAGGCTACAAACAGCAAGACCGCCCCATGAGTATACAGTCTAGAAAAAACAAGCAGGAATTCCTCCAATCATTCAATCGAGCGCTACTTTATACACAGAAGAGGGAGGGAGCTACTCTCCTTTTTTGGTAGTCGTAATAAAAATGCTTTGCAATAATGTAAGAAGAAAACACACAGTGGAGAAACACATGTAAATGTTGCTATACATTAATAACAATTTTTTACTTATATAAATAGATTGAATGACATTTGAGTTGTTTGCATTTCAGGCCCAAGATATACAATTCTAAAACCTGTGGGGAGTCTACCCGAAAGGGCTCCCGAGCTATGTTATAGACCCCTGGTCTAAAGGCTGTGTCCTATACAATCACAACAATATGGGTAGCCTTAGTTTCAGAATGTGGTTCTCACTTTACTGCTGTCATCCCTTTGTTGTTTGCACTTGTATATTGTAATAATTCCATTTTAAAATGTTATTACCTTAGAAGAGTTGCCTATTTTTTTTTTAGGCTATGCCTTCCTCTTCTGCCCCTCTTTCAGACGTTGCACTGAGCCAAAGCAATTCCAAGTCAGAGACTTCTGTTATGTGGTCAATGAAAAATGAGGTTACTCACTTTCCCCCCCACTAATTTTTTCCTTGCAGATGCAAGGATCAGACTGTTAGTGGTCCAACAAGAACGGACGGTGTAGAATACGCAGGACACTTCTAAACAATTAACAGACATTCATCGGACATTGTTTAAACTCCCCCTATGACCAATACTAATGTGTTCTATATACATATTTGTTAACATTTGATTCTCTGACCTGTGTTGGCGATTTTCAGTTTTGTTAAGCTCCTCAGATGATTTAGGGCTAAACAAAATAAATTGACGTTGAAAATCATGGTGGTAGCAGCTGTGACAGCAACTTGGCAATTGTCCAAAGTCAGATTCAATATAGTCTAAGTTGTGAGCCAAAATCTTCAATCTAAACAACTCCCCCAATGACAAACAGGTGTCCAAAATGGTGAAAATTGCATAATTATGTTGACCACTAGAAATCACTTCAGACAAAAATAATGAGTCTTTGTATTATTATATTCTTCACCACACTTTCCTTCGCGTTTCTCTTTCTTCTAGTACTCCTGCTCAATTACTAAACACAATCCTGCACCCTGAACACGTATGAATAGCTAAAGGTAGAAATACATGATAGGTGATCGTGTTATCATGAGCTGACGCTAGCAGCAGCGCGCTGATTGATAGAAATCAGACTCAGACATAGCAAGGGATCTTGTGCATCCAGCTTGTTTGTGTTATTCACAAAATGGTGTTGATTCAGACAGACAAAAGTCAAGACATTGAGATGTTATGTCATTGTTACTCACAAACACTCGAAAGACATACGTGTCAAAAGTCATCACAGATACAGCGCAAATCATAGTCAAAATAATCAGGGTCCTTGTCGAGTGCTGCACGTAGGCCAAAATCGCTAACTAATCGTAACATAATCTCGGCAGCAGATAAACTGTGCAAATTCAAAGACTGGATCCAAAGAGATTACTCACGAGCGCGGATGTCCAGCAGATACGACATTCTACACCAAGAAAAGGGACGAGAAATGTGCGAAACTAGTGGGCAGATCTAGTTAGCATAAGCCGTACACAATTCAAATACTGAGCCGTCCCGAGCTGGCTTGGCGGGGAGGTACTTATTCCAGAGGACGCCGCTGATTGGCAGATGGCCGGAGCGGAGAGACACTACTGGTTGGTGGTGAAAAACTATAAAACGTTTTATTTTATACCCAAATTCAGGGCCTGTTTTGTATATGTTTATTCGAATGTAAGTTCATAAGGATGAACAGCATACTACACTCACCAATGAACACGTACACACAACCTCAAATTGCTGAACAAAATAAAAGAAACACTGAAAACCCTAAAAAAATCACAGTATATAAGATTAAAGTACAGATCGTCACACTCGTTTGCAGTGAAACAGGATTTGAACTTTCTTTCTCCTACGGGGATCAATACACGTTTTTTATTATACGGCTCCTCAGAGCATCAGTAGAACGCTCCCATGATTTTAATGTAATTTCAAAACGTACTAAAACCGTTCAATATTTTCTATAACGGACCTCTCAAAACCTAATGACCGCTGCCCATCGCAAACGCCTCTCTGCTTTAGTATTTCAAATGCGTGGATAACACCGCAAGTAGTCCGGCCGAACACCGGAGCTAGCCAAACTCAATAACCCACTTAATGTTAATCGAGAATACTTATATACATAACATTCTTCTTCACACGGACGTGCACGGAAATTTTTCCAGAATTTTCCTGGTCTTGTCTCCATGACAAAAATCCTATATCTCCTCTGCGTCAAAAAGCGATCGTGAAAAACCCGGAAGTAGTTCAGGATCGCTCAAGAAACGCAAATGCCAATCAATCAAAACGCAATGAAAATGTAATCGGAGAGTGAATTATACATATCCAGTCCTTAATACGAAGTGCACCGTGAAGTTTCAGAAAAAATTATACGTTTACGTATTCATGACAAAAACACTGATGTAGATGCGAGAAATAGTCGATCCCCGAAAAAACCCCGGACAGTAGATACCAAGCACATAATTCGTCTCAATTGCAGAGGATCGAATTAATGGATTTAGTTAGGTTTTATGTATGGGTCACTCAACCGGCTGATGTTCAGAAATTCTTTGTTCAGATTTTTCTGCAGTATCCAGAGAATCTAATTTGAAGTTGCAGCCTAACTTTAGCTAGCCTCACAGACAAATATAGAATAGACGCCGCATTGGTTGCTCGGCACGAGAAATACGCCTGTGCCATGGTTGGACCGGTCATCTACAGCGCGATGCCTGAACACTGTGCGGCGTAAGGCTTGTCAAAATTAGGCGTGACTATTCAAAACAGGAGCTCGTGGATTACTTTTCACAAGAAGATAAACATTATTATTGGTTGAACTAGGTTTTTTTAATGGAATAATACAGTAATTGATTAATCACCAACGGAAATCAGATACAGAACAACTATTGAAATAGCAAACAAGCTAACTTTACAGCAGCTTTGGTTCATTATCAAATGGCGAGTTTTGTTGAAAGAGGGATGTTCAATAGTTTAAGAGGGAAATGGAAGAAGTAATTAGGAATAAAAGGAATTATGGTAATATATATATATTTTTGTTGTTGTTTGTATTATTCATGTATTAACATTTTGAAGGCAAAGGAAGGTTCTCACCCATCATCCTGTACTACTTAAGAAGATTTCCCCCGACGATTCGTCCTCAACCTGGGACTTTCTTCAGGAATTGAGATTCTCGGACCGGCGCGTATGGAGATTTATAACCTATGGGTGTGGTAGAGCCACACCCAATCCAGAAACTAACTCGTAAACAATCTCAGTCTCGGCTTGATGAAGAAGGGAGCAAGTCAAACGACCCTGCTGAGGCGAGACGAACCCATAACTCCTGTTTAGTCTGTCAAAGAGCAGACCTTTTTAAAATGATCTGCTGGGATGCTCAATGTAGTGCAGGTTACAACCCCTCACCTAACTCATTAGGCATGTCCACTGACCCATGTCCCAATTAGGGCGTTGTTTTTAGGATGACGTCCATAGATGACGAGGCAAAACAAATCTTAACCCTCCTCCTCTGTTAATAGAAGGTTTTTGTTTCCCTCACAAAAATGGCATCTATCACAGTCCCTCTCTCAAACGCAATTCCTTCACCCTGAGCCAGAAATTTAACCTCTTTGTCATCCACCGTGTGGATTGGAGGCCTTCAGTGGGAGATGAACAGCCCGACAGTGTCCCCACTAGATTTTTCCTCTACATGTTGGTAAAGTCGTTGTATCTGTTAGATTTG